GCTGGAGCTTCCTCAATCTGCAGCCCTGCAAAAACCTAATTTTCATAAAATAGTAGAAATTACCATAATGGAATAAGCCGAGAAAAACTTCCTTCCTTGCATGTATGTTCAGTCCCAGCTTGTGTGGAGTTACAGCTGCACAAATTATTACAAAATAGCACTGAATAACTCAAAAAATCAAGAAAGAGCAAAGTTTAGGTCCCTTCTAATGTGATTGTTTTTCCTTGCAGACCTAAGCCATGAGGTTGCCTTCAAAATCCAGGCATCAGCCACTGTTCAGCTGTAATGACCAAAGTGTAACAGGGTCCAGTTACCTGCCCTTCCTACTGAAACCTGGCTCCTCCTATCTCCCCCGAGTTTTGTTCTTGTCAGATTCTTGTTGCTGGGTCTTGCCACAACTTTGTCTGAGTAGCCAGTCATTGGTTACCCCATGAAACCTCTCATAGTGTCAGATTCCTTGCTCTGGGATTAATAAATAAACCAGGCTCTGGGAGTGACTGGTGCAAGGCTGTCTTCTCTTTCCTACCATTTTCTACATCTCATGGGCTTCCTGAGTTAGCAGCAGGTCCCCCCTACCACGGACAAGCTTTGTTTTGGTACACAGGCCAAATATGTCAAAGCACTTATTAATTCTGAGCTGCTCACTCTGCAGTGCTCTGTGGAGGGGGCTTCAAAAAATAGTAGGTTTAGCCACTTATGATGAGGCCCTCGGGAAATGAAAAACCCTTCAACTCCATTGCTTGTGCTAAGATGGATTTGTTTCTCACCCAGAAATCAAGTTGGTGTGTTTTCCTGCCCTCTTCTGGGTTCTGTAGTGGCTGCTTCAGTTTCTGCTTAAGTCCAACAACAGCACTTCTGGACTGGGAATAAAAAAAAATAAATCCCAAGCTATAAAAGTTTGAGCTGGTTTGTGTTCACTTCAGCTCTGTGCTCCCTACTGAATTTAGTGATTCAAGGGCAAGTCCTATAGACCTGACATGACTTTCAGACACTGATGTTGTGACTCTGAACCAAGTGGCACCACCACTGGACTTTCCTCCATGACCTCTTTTCTGAACCGGACCCTGGCCTGCCTTCACCATCACACCTGAGCTCCCCTGAGATGCTCTCTTTGCTGCCTGGTTTCTCTGCTCATCCCTTCTCCGTCCCTCCTGTGTCTCTGCTGTTCCATCAAAGACTCAGCTGGGAGGCTGGGGAGACTGTGCTGACCTGGTGCCTCCTGGAGCACTAGAGGGCACGAGGAGTTAGAGGAAGAGGAGGAATTACACTGATGAGAATGGGGCTCCCCAGAGCTGCTGATGGCAGTGTGTGTATCCTCTTTCAGGGGATGATGGCTTTTATTCCATGACAAGGTACATTGTGGTGGAAAGCATGACACAGGGAAGCCCTGATAAATCCCCAGGTGTTTATCAGCATTAGTGGACAAGGACCAACCTATAACTAAGCAAGGCCAGTGGCTGCTATTCCATACCTCTCTCCTTATGCACTCTGTGCAATTAACTCTACCTGAGACATGCTTAGTTTGGGGGATTTCAGTGGGGAAAGGAGAGGATTTTATCACCTATTTGACAGCATTGTGGATGTGGGCTGGTTTCTGGCTTGTCTCTCTGCCAGGCTGGCCAGCCCAGCTGGGTGTGCAGCAGCTGATGCCTATAAAGGGCTGTGAGGGTGGCAGGAGAGGGAGGTGTGGTCCTTTCAGGGATGAGTGGTGTAGAGGGATATCTCTGGTGCTGGGCAGGTGTTTGTCTTCTGGGTCAAGCTGGCTTCAGGCATTAAAGGCACCTGCATGATGCTGGCTAGCTGGCCCACTGACTCCTGTTCTAGGGGAGGTGGCTCAGAGCCACCTTCTTCCTTGGTGTCCTGTGTGCCTGCTTCTGGGTTCAGCCCTCCCTGCCCCGGCGTGGTTCTGCATCTGCTTCACTGGGCAGAGTTAAGGTGATGTTGGAGGAGGGGTCTGGCTGCTGCTGTCTGGAGCCATGTCAGGTGCTGTGACTGTGGATACCTGCCCTGGGAGCTGAATGCTGCTGATCTCCTTCCAGCAGTGAACAGTGGGGACCAGCACAAAACATGACAGCTGGGCAGCCCCACCGGGGTGATGGCTGGGGAAGATGTGCAGCCCCTCTACCAGTGCTGTGGCCTTGTTAATTTGGTTGACAGCTTCTGCTTAATGCAGTTTTCCCAGACCACCCAGATTTTGCAACACCTGGCTGCCTGCAGACCCTACAACTAGAAGGAGAAAGCCTAGTCCTGCTTCTCCTCTGGCTTAATTCTCTTCAGCTGCTGATGTGGGCTGCTGCACCTAATTCAGCCCGTGGTGACCTAATCATAGAAACCCTGGTCCTCAGAGGCTGCAGTGAGCTGCTTGAAATACCCTCCCATCTTTTGTAAGGCCAATTGCCTGGGGTGAAGGTGTGCTTTGGGAGCGAGGGGACTTGGATCATACTTCTTGTGTGTTTTACTGGTTCACCTGGTGACCATCCTTTGCACTAAGCCAGGAGGGCTCCAGTACCTGTGACATGTGTGGAAACTGGTGGATGTGTAAATCGTGAGCAGCAACACTCTGCTGCAGCCTCCTCAGTGTTGCACAGTTGGCTCAGTCGTCAAACCTGATCCTTCACAGACCGAGCTGGGAACTGTGCATGAGAGCTCCAAGGTAAGGCAGTCTCCAGACCCCTCCTCACACAGAGGAGAAGGAGGAAGAGGAACAACACCACGGGGTGGCAACATCTAGGAAGGAACCACTTCCCTCCCAGCTGCTCCTGCATCTCTGATCAGAGGAAATTAGGTGGGTGGTATGAGTCTATAAGCAAGGTGCCCTGCACAGGGACACAGTTTTTAGCAGTGCTGATGGATGGTATTCCCACCCCACAGGGCTAACCTCGTCTGCCTGTGTAATGAAAATCTACTGCCCTGCACAGCTGGTTTGCACAGGCAGGATGAGCAGCATGCAGTGCTTGGAGCTCCTGCTTGTGCTGCAGTCCTTGCTGGGCTGGTGTCTTGGCAAGGTGGGTCCAATGGATCTGGCTACCCAGAAACTTGGCTGGAGCTGCTCGGAGACCTTCCAGAGAGCCAAAGATGGAGGCATCAGAGCCCAGTGCCTCCCAGGTGCAGCTCAGCCTTCCTGGGTGTGAGGGATCAGAGCTGTTACACGATGAGCTGTGATGGTACCAATGCTTTGCTGCCCGAGTGTAATTACACTGGGATACAATAGGTCTGTCCCAGGACTGTTTCCAACTCCCACGGGATTTTGGCAGGGTGGTGAGGTACCTGTGTTAACTTGTGGCCTCTCTCCTTCTAACAAATTCCCAAATGACATGACCTTGGGTCCCAGCATCACCCACGCCATCTGTGTGAGGGGAACACTTGGTGACGAGGATGCCCCATGGAGGGGCTGGGAGTGCTCCTGCCCCTGGTACCAAGGTCACCGGGAAACACAGGAGGTGAGGCCCCTAAAAACCTCCCATCCTCCACTATCCTACAGCGGGTCCCTCACAGCTCTGCAGCCGTGTCCCCGCTCGCCAGCCGGAGACGGGAGACCCAGCCGTCCTCCGTGCCGGGGAAGCCGCAGCCCCCTGCCCAGGCTGCTCTGGCAGCGGCAGGTACGCGGCCCCAGCCCCGCAGCGGGCGGCCCCGGCCTGCGGGGCCGTGAAACTCCCCGAGAAACAGCGAATTCCCCCAGGCAGGAGAGAAGGGGAGAGCTGGGCAGGATGGGAAAGCGCCGGGACTACGGGAAAGCTGCAAGTTCCAGCTTCCCCGTCCGGGCGGGATCTTTCCTCCGCGGGTTTCCCCTCCCCGAAACCGATGCGGTTTGGCGGAGCCGGAGCCCCGCTTCCCCGGGGCCGCCTCCCCCCGCGGTACCGGCGCCCGGAGCGGACCGAGCCCTGCTTGGCGCCAGCGATCACCGGCGACGAACCCGGCGGGGCAGCTCTCCGGCTTTGGGTTTTTTTGTTATTTTTTTCCTCCTCCCAGCACTCCTTTTTCTTAAACACTCCGGAGCAGCGGGAGCGGGGCGCCCGGGGCGATGCGCGGCGCGGGGGAGCGCATCCTCACCGGAGACAGCTCCGGGCAGAGCACCGGCTTTCCCCAAAAACTCCCGGCCTGGGCTTCTCTTGGAAAGGGGAGTTAAGTCCAGCTGGTTTCATTACCGGGAGAGACGCTGTGGTGGGGCACCACCCTCTACCTTTTATTTTTTTTCTTTTCGTCTTTTTGGCTTTCAAGGAAAACAAGGAAAAAAAGCCAGGGAGCAAAGCGGAGCCGGGGCGGCTGGGCCGTACACCCCGAAGCCGGCAAGCGCCGCCTGCCCCTCGAGGCGTGGCGGGGCCAGTGCCTGCAGCCAGGTAGGAAAGCGGGGAGGAAACTTATTCCGAGTGGGGTGGGGTGGAGGGGGGAGGGGAGGGCAGGGCGGGGCAGGGGGGGGGGGTCGGGCAGGGAGGTATCAGCTCCAGGAAATGTGCCTTGGCAGCAGTCGGACGGGCGCTTCCCCGCAGGTTGGTGAGCTCCACTCCGGAGCCGTCCAGGGCGTCGCGGCTTGCTCCGCAGCCCGGGCAGTCCCGGCGGGGGGGGGGGGACGGGACAGCCCGGGGAGGGAGGGCCCTCCGTAAGACCCCCCAGGAGCGGACGCCTCTCCCGCCGGCTCCCCGTAGGAAGGCACCGCCCGGGCCGCCCCAGGTAAGCGGCCGAGTCCCGCCGACGGCAGCCCCGTATCCTCCCGTCCCGCGGCCGCGGGGGACACGGCTCCGGTCGCCCCCCACGTCGGGGCTGCGGGGCTGGGGGGCCGCTGCGACCCCGCCCGGGACAGCGGCTGCGCAGCCGGAGCGGGGGCCCGGGGGGTTCTCCCGTTCGGAGGGAGGAGGGAGCGGGGCGCTGGGGAGCGGGCGGGCGGCCACGGCCGCGAAGCCCCGACCGGGGGCGGCGGGGCCGGTGGCCGGGCTGAGCGCGGTGTGTCCGGGCTGTGTTGGCAGGCGGGCGGCGCGGCCCCTCGCCCGGCCCGTCTCCCCACCATGCTGGACGGGCTGAAGATGGAGGAGAGTTTGCAGAGCGCCCTGGATCCCGCGGCCCCTTTCTCCTCGCTGCTGGGTAAGTCGGGGCACCACACTTGCGCTCCCGGGGATCCCCCCTAGGGCGGGGCACGGCCAGGCGGGCCCGAACGATGGGCGCCGGGGTCCAGGGGGCCCGGGGACAGCTTTCACCAGCTCGTTCCTGCCCGCAGCCCTGCCCGGCACCGCTGCCTTCTCCCGGGGAGTGCGACCGGCGCCCGCCTTCCCCGCGCCCGGTTCGTTCCGCGATGGCATTAAATTGTGTGCCCTCCTAACCCCCATGTAGCGAAGGCCTTTCCTTCGTATCTAACAATAAATAATTTACTTTTTCTTTTTATCTTCGTTTTAATATCCTTTTGAAACAATCGCCGTCTCTCTGAGCCGCGGCGCCGCTGCCGCCTTTCCGAGAGGAACGAAATTGGGGGCGGCGTGCCCCCCTCGGAGCTGCCCTAAGGCACAGGTCCCCTGTGGATCCTGCAGCGGCTCCTCGCACTCCCCGGTCCCCCCGCGACCCACCAGCCTGGGCGGGGGAAGCGAAAGCCGCGGGACCCCCCCATCCGTCCCTCGCCCAGCCCGTTTCACCAGCTGCCTTTCCTTCCACCCATACCAACCCCCAGGTCTTTCCCCACAGGCAGAGCCGCGACCCCCAAGTCGGTGTGTGAAGGGTGTCAGCGAGTGATTTCGGACCGGTTCTTGCTGCGCCTGAACGACAGCCTGTGGCACGAGCAGTGCGTCCAGTGCGCGTCCTGCAAGGAGCCCCTGCAGACCACCTGCTTCTACCGAGACAAGAAGCTCTACTGCAAGCTGGACTACGAGAAGTAAGTGTCCCTCCGCCCCTGGAGAGCCCCCCCTTGCTCTGCTCCCAGTGCCTGCAAAGCCCCAGTGCTCTGCTGACGGGGTGGGGAGACTGGTATCCCACCGCTGCTCCCCACTTCCCCTGCCCTGTGTGTCCTAAGAGGTGTCAGCCCTTCCTGTGCTGCACAGCGAGTTGTGCTTCTCCCCTGCAGTTTTGGTGCACCCTGGTTCTCCCCTCTTTGGAGGTGTTTTGTTGTGCTTGGGTTGTGCCTTAGGAGTTGAGGAATGTTTTGTCAGGAGCCTGTGAGACCCATGGAAACCCCAGGTCTACCCAGGGATGGAGCCAAGTGTTTTCCTATCTCCTCTGGCTTTATTTTCCTGCTGAGTGTCTAGAGGAGGAACATTATATCCTCCCTGACCTAGTCCTGGACAAGGGTATTTTCCTAATATCCTTACAGGCAGGGAAATGCTATTGTTTCCCCCTGGGTTGGATGGGGAAACTGAGGCACTCGGTGAGAACTAAGGAAGGCCCTACTGAATTCAGAATGTTGACTGTCACACAGGGCCTTTGCCTGTGCCCAGGTCTATGATGGAGAGGAAATTTGGATGGAAGTGGTTAAGGCTTCCAGCCCCGACTCTCCGCCTTTGGCAAGCGTGGGGCTGGGGGGAAAGACAGTGAGAAAATTTATTTTTCTTTTTTTTTAAGAAAAACCATTCCAGTGGGAATGGGGAGAAGGTTGCGGAGTCTTTCCTCTCCTGCAGCTGCTTTCGTTTTTTCCTGCTCATCCCGTTCTTGCTGTCCTTTCTGGACCTCACTCCCCGGCTGGGTTTCGAAGCCGTTAAATTTTTGTTGCCTCCGGGCTGGTTGTTTCTTGAGGAGGTTGTAGGTGGGGGCTGGATCCCTCACTATGGTGATAGCAGGGCTGCTGGAGCCCGGAGGATTTAATTCCCATGTCACCGTTACACGAGAAAACAGTCGTCGGCAGTGCTCTCGTCCCTGGCCTTCAGCAAGTTGGCGAGTGTGCCGGGGGCTAGCCTGGCTCCAGGCCTTTTTAAATTTGTTTTTTTGGGGTTTTTTTGGGTTTTTTTTCCCCCTCCTTTAAGTCCTGTATGGTGGGTCTGAGTTTAATCACTATGGATACGAGGCAAATTGAAAGCAGAATTTGTGCGCGTGACCTTGTTTTCAAATGTTTACGAAAGAGCGGAAGAATTAGCTGCCGCCAGAGTGGGAAGGACAGAGCTGTGTTACGGGGTGGGTTTTTTTGTAAGCAAAAATTTGTTGGAATTGGGCGTGCTGCTTGTTTGTCCGTAGAAATTTGGCTACTGGTTTCCATACATTTCCAAAACAATCGAATTCACATTTTCTGCTTTATTGGTGTTTCTGTTTGGAGCATCGAGGGGGAATTGGGGTGAATATTACCCAGAAATGCCTTTCCAGCTTGGAGCATGTATGGATTTTAATCCTGACCGCAGCTTCCGAGCTCTGGAAGCGGCTCCAACCTGAAACACTCCTCTGATGTCTCTTGGCCATGAAAGAAATCAGTGCCGCAGTTGGTGTCTTGCTGTGCCCATCTCACTGTTGGGATGGACAAGGATGATTGCATGAAAAAAAATGTCACAAATTATTCCTGGGCTCCAGTGATAGCACCATTTATCCTGGTTATTTCCCAGTTGTGTTTGGGTTGGTGACTTTTTCTCGAGCTGGGGAGCAGGCTCTCTGATGGGCGGTTTCCCTGAGGTGTGATGGTTCTAGCCCTGAACTGCTGCTGGCCTGTCCAGCTTCTGCACCTGCCTGCCCCTTGCTATCATGTTATTGTCCTCTTGAATTTAATTTTATTTCATTATTTTGGCGTGGGGCTGCGGGTCTGTGTACCTTTTTCTTCCATCCCCCTGTCAGTGTTCTCTGCTGTGCCGGCGCTCCAACTCCTTACCTGGTGATGGCAAGGATGCGGAGCAGAGTCCCAAAGAACTGTTTGGGCTTTGCCGAGCTTTACATACTAGTCTGTATTTAACAAAAAACATTGTTTCTTTGCCCAAACTGCCTGTCCTGTCTTAGGCCTGAGCATTTTCCCGGGTGCAGGAGCTCTGTGCCTGCTCCGCCTGCGGTGCCGATGCCGATAATGGGGGTTTCAGTGTGAAACACGCAGAGCAAGAGCTGCTGCTCTCAGACTGAGCTCATTATCTCGAGCCGATAGCTGGTTAATTACCACAAGTGACTGACACTCCTTGTGCAGTGCAGTGGTGTAAAAGCGGCCGATGGTCCCTGCGGCAGTGGCGTAGCCGGGATCCCGAGGCCTCTCTGTCGACACAGCAGAGCTCGCCGGGTGGGAGAACTGGGGTGTCTGTGTGTAAAATGCTGGGGGTGTTGGGGCAGCGGTCAGGATCCAGCCTGCCAGTGTTGTGGTGTTGGTGTTTTGGGGGTGTTTTTTTTTTTTTTTTTTTTTTTTTTTTTTTTTAATTTGAGAGAAGGGATTTCTCTTCCAGATGGTGACTGTTGGGGTGTTTTTGCCCGAGATGAGTAGGCGCCGTATTTTCCAATGTGTTTCTTTACTCTCTGTTTGAGCTCAGTTTGTAACAAGGTTGCAGTGGATTAATGACAGAGTGTAAGACGGCAGAGTTATGCCTTCAGTTATAAATACACCCATGGAAAGTGTTACAGATGGGTTTAAGCAAGCATCTGACTTGCTGGACTCTAGAAATTGAGGAATAATTTGTTAAAACACATGTTTTACATTTCTTTGTCTGACACAAAGAGGAAGACCTTGGGAGAGGACTTGGAGAGCAATGGACTAAAGACTGAGGATGCCAGGCTAGCATTGCTTTGGGGTGCTGTAGCGCAGGACCCATGAGCAGTTCGGATAGCGATGCCGGCCAGGAATGTGGGGAATTGGGGGTCACTCTTGGAGCAGTTTCCCCAGTGCTGGTTGGGAGGACTCCTGGAGAGGGACGGCTCAAGCCTGTGCCCCTGGGACAGTGTCTATTTGGGGCAGAGGACGTTCGTTACAGAACATCCCGAATCCCGCGGCAGCCCCCGGCGCTTGTCCAAACCTGATAACTCTCAACTATGACAAGGTTCAGGCTTCGCCCTGGCCGGCTCCCTGACTGCAAAGTGGCCCTGGGGACATGCCCTGGCCGTGGGGCCCCTGTGGTGGTGGTCAGGGGAATGGGCTTTTGTGGTGGCAGATTTGGGGGGCAGTATGAAACCTGGCCATAAATGGGGAGGAGTGCTGGAAGCAACGGGAAGAGCTGGACTGCTCCAGAAGCTTAAAATCTGCATGGGGACAGGAATGGCTGAGCCCTGCCTGCCTAGAGGTGTTTCACAGTGGGTTTGCATGGGCCAAACAGAGCCAGAGCCATAGGGATGACCTGGAGCCACAGGGGCAACCCCACTGCAGGTGATGCTGGTGGTGTGTGGGAACCCTGCCGGCCGGTTCTGGGGGCTGGGAGCGCTGACAGCGGTGCGGTCGTGACGGGGGGCGCAGCTGGGGAGCGTGGCGACGGCGGGACGGCTTGGCACGTCCCCAGCCACGGCGCAGAGCCCCGGCCCCAGCCCCGGCTGGCAGGAGCAGATGGCCAGCACATCTCGGAGCAGGCCTGGCATGTGGGCGCCGGCAGTGGAGGGGCGGCTGCAGCCCCTGAGCCGCCACCGCCATGCCGGGCTCCCCGGCCGAGGGAGGCAGTTGTGTGATGCTCGCCCTGTCTTCGCACGGCTTGATGGCTCTGTGCTGTTGCCAGATTCTGCGCCGTCATCACAGAGCTCCCCTGGCTTGGCTCCGAAATCCCCTGCTCCCAGAGTCGTGGGGTTGCGTGGGTGCATCCACTTCCTCCTTTGTGAAATAAAATGAGAAGTCGCATCCGGTTGCAAGGAAAAAAAAAATAAATCCTTCTACCCTCTGAATGTGAACACAAAAGAACATGCATGCAGAGAAACCCATCGGTGTTGGGTTTTAAAATCACATCCGGGGTCTTCATATGGAGGAATGAGCCTGAATCCCTGGCAGTGTGGTCCTGCCAGGCCGCGGATGGATCCTCTGGCTTGGGGCAGTGCAGTCTCCTCTCACCCGCGGGAGGCTCCTCTGGCAGCTGCTGCTGTAGAGGAGAGAGGGGGAAGAGGTTTGGAGCATGGTGGCTGTTTATCTTGCTTAACGTGGGTAATGAATGTAATTGCGCAATTAGCTGCAAACCTTGGCGCTGCTTCCCCAGCCCGGAAGGGCTGTGAGGGGATAATCCCAAATGGATTGAGCGAAGAAGGTGATGCTGAACACTTTAGCACAGCCTAGTCCCACCAGCTGGAGAGTTGCTGCTGTCTGATGGGTTTGTCCTGGTGATTTGCAGTCCTCTGCCTTTGCTCGCCTGGGGAAGTGGGACTTCTTGTGCTTTTTGTGACTGATGGGAGAGAATTGTCCCTCCAGGGAGCCACTGGTCAGCCCAGCTAGAGTGCAACAGTAGGTCCTTTTCCCTTCTTGTGGGGCAGCCTGTGGAGAAGATGATGCTAACTTGGGTTTCTCCAGCTGGCCAGGCACTGAGAACAGTCAGGCTGGTCTTGATGGGGTAACAGAGCACATGCCAGCTCTGTAGCACAACATTCCTCTTGCTGATCTTTCTTTTCCTGTCCCTCAGTCTTTTCTTCTAGTGCTTTCCTTGCTTCTTGCCTGCTCTCCATCTCCACCTAGCACCTCATCTCCTGTAGCAAGCACCTCTCTGTCCTCACCCACATCTCCTGGAGGAAAGTGTACCAACTCTTTGTGGGCTGGGATGAGTGTGGCTGTGGGGAAGCTGAATCTGGCCTCGCCCCCACCATGTTGGGTACGGCTGGGCTGGGACAGGTGCCGGTCCTTTGTTTTTTAAGTTGCCCTGTTGTGCCAGTGGGGGGTGGAAAAGCAGGGAAGCAGCGGGATGCAGCGATGAGAACGGCATTACGGAGGCCGCTGTGGGATCCATGCTGGAAATGCCACGCAAGCAAAATACACCTTGCCTCTGTCTCCACCAACCCCTGTCCTCCTGCTCATGGGGCTCCCCCTTT